AAATTATCTCATTGAATCCATTTTGTCTAATAGTCCAAAAGATAACATTGTAGCCAAATAATAAGAGCAATTGCCCATTTTTACATTACTATAAAAAATATTATATGTGATACTTCCTCCAAAAATTATCTTGATCGAGCACGAATCTCAAGCCAAAATCAAGTTGGAAACTTCCGAAATAAAAATTGGGACCATTCTAACTCTGATTTCAAAAAACTTATAGTCGAACTGAGCGTCTCGGAAATATGAACCCAACGACATCAAAATCGACTCAATCCGACTCTAAATGGCATAAATCAAGGGTTAGAAGTGTTGTTGGAAGGTTCGAACCACAATTTGGATTACCAAATGGTTTCCGAACATGACATGCTTATAATCGAATCGAGCGGCTCGACAAAAAGAATCCAACGAGCTCAAGATTACCAAATTCCGACATCACTAAGGCATTCAAATGTCCATCAAACGGTCATTGATCAAGGGATTCAACATCAGCCGTCCATCCAACCACTCCCCATTTACCCTTGATCTCTCACCTATTTACTGGTCATATCACTCTAGAAATCTATAAATAGATCCCTCATTTCTCTTGAAAAGGGGGCTCAAAGCAAGAGAGAGATCAGAGATCGCTCTTGCCTCCTCTCTCCTCCTTGACCACCGCCTGAGTTCCGTCGGACCACCATCTGACGTTGTTGCTCTGCTGGACCACTACTTGAGACCCTCACCTCCACCGTACCACCACCTGAGGCCCGGACTTCCACCAGACCACCACCTAACGTCGTTGCATCGCTGGACCACCACTTGAGGCCCTCACCTCCACCGAACCACCACTTGAGGCCCGGACTTCTGTCGGACCACCACCTAACGCCCGAACTTCTGTTGAACCACCACCTGAGGCTAAAACTTCTGCTCGATCACCGCCTGACTTCATTGCTCCGTCGGACCATCACTTGAGGCCCTCACATCCACCGGACCATCACTTGAGGCCCGGACTTCTGTCGGACCACCACCTGATTTTCGAACTTCTACCAGACCACCACCTGAGGCCCATACTTATGTTGGGCCATCATCTGATGCCCAGAGTTTTACCAGAATACTGCCCTACTGCAATGATCTTTTGGATCCCGTCTTCTGCCTACTACGGTATTTTCGACCTCTATCATATCAACCATGGTCCTGCCGACCAACCAAACATGTATATGTTGATTATTGTAACTCCCACCATGTAATGCGCTCTATATGATGTACATTTGTGACATCAAGCCAAGGTCTTCTCCCAAGAAAAGGCCTCATTTGTAATCGACTGCAAATACTAGTAGATTCATTCAAACTGGGTCATACCTCGTGGTTTTTCCCTCTTTTCAATGGTTTCAACGTAAAATCCCTTGTCTCTTATGAATGATATACACTCTCTCTTATCTGATTGCGTGCTGGATCTTTATGTAATGATAAGACGTTAAACTTCATATTTCTCTACCACCACGAACTCCAGGACGCAACAATATGAAAAAAAAAAAAAAAAAACTTTACCAGAAAGCATTTACCAATCTATGCTTCTTACTTTTTAAATACTATAATTATCCTTTTTTTTTTTACTTTTCGTTATAAAATTTTGTAGAATAATCATTTTTAATCATAATTATTTTGTCACACAAAAATTATCCCGAATTAATTTCTTAAGTCACGAAAGACTTAGTCCAAACTAAAAATCAAAGAATTACATTTATAAGAAAATAAAAATTAATATTTTATCAAAATCTAAATTTTAAATAATGATCCTTCACGAGAGGAATCCTTCCCTCCACAAATTAAAAGTGTTCAAAGCTTAAAAAAAAAAAAAAAGTTCAAAGATGCTCATTATCCTCATCTTTCACGCTTCTTGTGTATAGACTTATTTCTCACCCAAACATTAAAAAAAATAAAATTAATATAATTAGATCAAGCTCTAATTAAACACCTCAAGTATCTAATTAAAATTAAAAAGAAAAAAAAATATTATACCAGTCATGTGAAATTTGAAATTCATTAAATTCATATTAATTTTAAAATAAATTTAATAATTATTAAGTCCTACTTATTATATTTTATATCAAGATATTCTATCAAAATATTTTTAATTTAAAAACAAAAAATCCATTTTACTTGTGAATAGCTCTCCTCACATGGCTTTGACAAATGTCATCGCTAGCTAGGTTGGGCATCCATAGTCACAAAGCTGGGTCAAATCTTATTGTTTAAGATTTCTGCAGTAGCCGTCCTCACACAGTAACATTTAAATAAATTTAATTATTTATCTTCCTATATAAATTAACTCAATTGGTATTAAAACAAGGCATGAATGGAAGGTTCGAGCTAAGTCAACCTTAGGCTTTATAAAACTATTATTATTATTTTAAAATAATTATTTTCTCATCAGTTTAGTGTGTTGTATGGTATAATTTAGGATATTTTTATCAAATTTTAATTAGAATAAATTTTGAAATTTTAATTTATTTTAAAATAAATATAACATATAAATAATCAATGAACTTTTTGTTATTTTCATATCAAAATAATAAAAAAAAAAAAAACAAATATTAGTTAGAATATTTTGACTTATATTTTCTAATAAAATATTATGTATAAGAGAAAATTATGATACTAATTTTTAAATAAATATAATAATTATAAAATTCAATCTAAATAAAAAAATTCAATATATACTCGAATTTTCTCCTCAATCAATTATGTACAACAGGGAAACTAAGGTTGAACTTTGTGTTCTTTGGAGAGAAAAATGGGTTGACAACCTCCTCCCTTCAATATCCTCTTTGCAATAGTCTCTATTTAGGCAAATTATTACGTCCAGTCACCAGACGTTCGGACATCCAATCCAGACGCGTCACGTCACCCAAATACACTGGGGCCAAGTGTATTTGAGTGACGTGGTTCGTCTGGATTTGTGTCCGGACGAATCCGGACACCGGAAGTAATAATTTGCCCTCTATTTGACCTGAAATTGATCTCGTCCCATATTTTGTATATTTGCCAAACAAATGGCTTTGTGAAACGCATACAGTTAATAGAGCATTTGCTTCTAATCTGATATACATTAACCTAATGCTTATTATATTAAAGCTGGCCTTTTTTAGCCATTTGGCACCTTAATTTGGTGCCACTTGTCATCTCACTGTTTATTCATAATGAAAATTTAAATTAATAATTCTTAAATCGATATTTCGCATCATGGCCTTTGAATTTTATTAATTATTCAAATAAGAAAAAAAATTGTGAATTCTTTATTACTCTATTTAATATAAAATAAGGCATTTTGATAAAAAAACTGGCTCAAAATATAAATTATTTACATCATCAATGCATGTGAAAGTAGCATTATTTTGGCAGATGAGTGCTCGAATTAGGCCCATCAAAATTCTCAGATTTATTTCAAATTAGATTTTATATTTGTTATTATTGATGATTTACAAAAAAAAATAGATAAATGTAGAAAATGGCAAGCTCCAAGTTATTTAATCATAAAATACTACACTGAATTGTTAAAAAAAATTCTGTCACTGCAAAGAGAGATTATTATGTGCGGTCACCGAATAATTCAAAGGCGAATTAGAACGCGTCACATCCCCAATACCGAGCGATACACAACAGCAGTACACAAAAAATAAAATAAAAGAATCAATTCATGAATGGCTGGACCTTAGTTGCCTATGAATTAGATATCAGGAGGGCTGCAATTCAAAGCAGCAGCAGGTCTCCCCCAAAACTAGTTTGGCAATAATCCGTCAGGCTCCATATCTGCCTTGATAAAATTTCATATTTGTGCAAAGAAATCAATCTACATGCATGCCAGATCCATTATGATCGGCCGGCCTTTTGTCTGACCTGATTGGGTTCTATACCAGTCAGGTCAGATCATCTGCAGCCCAATCCATTCTACTAAATGTATCAAGTCGCCATAAACGTTCAGATCCATTCCAGTCATTCAAGAAGGCACCTCATGGATCCATTATCACAAATTTTCTGAGTGAGGAGCATAAGGATGTGATAGGAAATACTTGAGTTCGCAAGCAACCCTAGCAATAATTGATAAAAACAGCGAAAATAATGCGATAATCTCAATGAAATCAATCCAAAACCATAGATTGTAATAGTGGATTAAAAGCAAAAGCAAACACAAAACAAGATACAATTGATCATCAATTCAAGATGAGGATCATTCTCACTCAATCTCTAGACGATGAATCTAGATCCCAAGACGCCAAAGAAACTTCAAAAAAAACAAAAGAAAACCACTCAAAGAATGCCTAATCCTAACCCAAAATAACTCATACTATTAATACATTAATTCCCTAATTCAAACTCCTTAATTCAAAATTTCCCTCTCATCCTAGCCGCCCGCCCCTCTTTCTTTAATTTTCTCCTAGTGGGGCCCACTAGTTTGGGCGGCAAGAAAGAAGGGAGGCAGCTCTTGTCCGCCTCCTGTAAACAAGAGCCGGCCTTTGTGCCTGTTGGGCTGGTTCAGGTTGAATCGGCCTAATAGGATGATGGTGGCAAGAGGCGGAGGATTAGATATATGCATGCCAAAGAGAACAACCAGAATGATTTGGGGGTCTGAGTAGGGCTGCTAGATACTCAGTTCTATATGTTCTTGCATCTTTTCATCCGCAGCTCCAGTTTTGTTTGCCATTCCATAAATCAATACTCATACTTTTTTTTTGCAAGAGAATATATACCCATAAATAAATAGAAAGTTGCATCTTACTTCTTTCTTTGCAGCTTTGCGAATGCTAGTAAGGTCAACCGTTGCCTTGATGATTTTGTCTTCAAAGAGGTCAAATGAAAAATCTTCCATTCATCGCCTTTGAATAGGAACAAATACAAGCAGGAGTGGTGGAACAGTGGGCACATAATCTTTGAAAGAGGAAATCCCATCTCTGTAGTGTGAAAAAATCTGTACGCAAGTTCTTAGAATTCCATGGAGAAAGATATGCTAATCAAACAGCAACTTTATTTTTTTTTTTTTTTTAAGGGAAAAAAGGGTCTTAATACCAATAATATTTATTTAAAAAAAAGGCTCAGCAATAAATAAATTTGTATGCAGCATAAAGCCTGACTGCAAGGCATCATCCTAAAAAGTCAAACCATTGGCATCAATACTTCATAAGCCAAGATAATGAAGAGACTTCAGAGAAAACCAAACATTATGTACCAACTGAGTCTTTTTATTCTTCAAGATCACATAAAGTCTTGGTGAATAAGCTGAGTGTAGAACAAAAAAGAGTTATCCAATCTATTAAGGGGTCCAATCTTCTAAAACAATGGAACATTCTTCTACCCCTGGAGATTTTGTTAATTAGGAACTCAAAACCAAGTTAATAATTGTTACGCTGACATGAGTTTTGAGAGATTCTTCAAAAAAGAGAAATGAAAAGAAAAATGCTTGTATTGTTTCACATAAACAAATTATTGATAAAATTTTAAGCAGCAAACATCGTAGAGTTGTTTCGCGTGGATCCAACAAGAAAATGCATTTCAAGATTACAACTACTCACCTAATTTCTTTTGAAATGGAAAAATATTCTTCAGCAACAGTTTCCTTCGTTCCACTTTCAGGACAATGTGGCTTTTTGAGAGGGGAGTACTGATATGTCAAGGGAGACCCACTTTGTGGGACCCATGAAAGCTATTAGTCATTATGTGAGGAGGATCAAAAAGAAGCTATTTAATTGTTTATGAAGGTTTTCCAAACTAAGTGGTGAGGTTTCTTTGGCCCTCCCATGGTCGTGAGAATTCAAGCGTAGACTTTATGCGTGCATTAATTTTCTCAACTTTTAAAATTAAATATAGAGAAAATGATCAAAATAATCCCAGTTTAATAACTTCATGAGTATCATATTTCTCTAATTTAGCCCATCAACTATATAAAATTGATCCCAAAATACTCCCTCAAATAAAAATTGATGAAAATTATAAAAAATTAATCTCAATCAATCCCTCAAATATATAAAATTAATCACATTGGGGCCATTTTGAATAAATTTTGTCTAGTAGAGAAATAAAATTAGAGAAATATGATACTTTAAGACTAAATTGACAACCTACAAATAGTTGGGAGATTATTCATAGTTCCTTCCAAATAAAAAATATATATTACGTTCAATAAGACATCACTTTACCTCATGGATGCACTCACTACAATTTCATAGTTCAAACTAGGTTATGAGGTTACTCATGATCAACCAGCTTGGGCTACCAACAAATGGCTTTGGTCGACCAAGACATTTCTTTGGTCGATCAAGAACATATCTACATCAAGCAAATCAATCACAGTATAGTGACTTGATGGTCATATTTGGATAGCCAAATTTATGCGAGCAAATGTGACTAAATATCTATAGAACTTGAGTAATCTACAATAGTAGGAGAGGTTACCTGCAATCCAGATGTTTTCCATCTATTCCAATTGTATTTAGTTCCCATATCCCAACTCCTCACAGATTGCATAACCCTCATCATACATTTGCTCAGCCAGACCTTCCAAAAGTCCATAAATATCAGGAGACACGGAGTTCGATCGGTCTCCCACCACAAAAGGCTTGAACCCATTCCCCAAATCAGCCCAAGCACATCCTGGAGCCTTCCTTACCCCCTCATCCCTCATCTTCATCCTAACCTTCGCAAGCTCCCCCCAGCAATTCGCAGCCGCATACATGTTTGCAATGAGCACATAGTGCCCTGCATTATCTGTCTTCATCTCCAACAGCCTCATTGCTGCCTTTTCTCCTAGCTCAGTATTCCTGTACACCTGACAAGCACCAACTAAGGCTGACCACATTGCAGAATTTGGTTGAAAGGGAGCTTTATTAATCACCTCCTCTGCCTTCTCCAAAAGACCAGCTCTGGCATACAAATCCACCATACAAGAGAAATGTTCCATCCTTGGCTTAATGCCAAAGGTGCTTTCCATCTTGTTAAAGAGTATTTCTCCTTTTGAAACTAATTTAGAGTGGCTGCAAGCAGAGAGGACCGCCACCATACTAACATGATCCGGTTTGATTCCATAACTGATCATCTCATCAAAAAGCTGAACTGCTGCGATACCATCCCCTTGCATTCCATATCCAGCTATAAGTGAAGTGTAAGAGACTTCATCGCGATCAGTCATGGCATCAAAGACTCTACGAGCTTCCAAGATCCTGCCTGACTTAGAGTACATGTCAACAAGAGAGTTCCACAGAAGGCGGTAGCCTGTGAATTCTTGCTTGGTTATGTATGAGTGGAGCTCACGGCCATGCTGGAGATTAGCAACGCGCGCACAAAGAGCAAGAATTGTCACAACGGTTACATAATTTGGTTGGAGTCCCGACTGTAATATCTCTCTAAATAAAAGAGAGGCCTCCTCTGCTCTGTCCTCAACTGCAAAGCCAGCAAGCATGGCGTTCCATGTAACCAAGCTTGGATTTTTTATCATTCGAAGCAGAAGATGAGCAGTTCTAGTGTCCTTGCACCTCGAGTACATTGTTATCAGAGCATTCCTCAGACTCTCAAGGTCATCACAGACCATGCGGATTGCCAAACCGTGAATTTCCTTCCCCAATCTCAACATCCCAATTCGAGAGCAAGCGTTTAAAGCAATAACCATGGTGACGAAGTCCACCCCAGTTTTGCTCAGTCTCATTTGAGAAACAAATTCCAACGCTTTGACATGATCCCCCTTCTGCAGCAGGCCACCAATGATGGTATTCCAGGTAATGGAATTCACCTCCGAACACCCTTCCATGGCAAGCTCGAACAGCTCAAATGCTTCCATCCAAAGACCCCTCGATGCATACCCTGATATAATTGAATTCCATGACACAACATCTCTCGCAGGCATTTCATCGAACAGCTTTCTCGCAACATCCAGTTCACCGCATTTCAAATACATGGCCACCAAAGCATTCGTTACAAATATATTCGACCCGATTCCACTGCTTTCAATGCTCCGGTGAATCTCTCTGCCAACATCCAAGTCACCTGCCTCTCCGCAGGCTTTAAGGAGAGACGGATAAGTGAAGCAATCAGGGACAACGCCAATAGAAAACATTTGGTTGTAGGCAGCAAGAGCCTCGGCAGAAAAGCCATTTCTGACATAAGAGGAAATGAGGAGCTTCCATGGGAGAATGTATGAAGACTCTTCTACGACGGAAGCTGCAGAATGGAGTAGACCGAACGAGAGGTAGAAAGATGTAAGAGGGGAGAGGAGGGAAATGTGGTAAAAGAGGCCGAAGGAGATGGAGAAAGCGTGGAGCTGCTCGCCGGCTGGAAGGGATTGGTGTTCAGTAGCAGAGTTGAGGAGGAGGTAGGTAAGGCGGAAGAGGATATGGGAGGAAGGAGAGCGGAGGCGGAGGAGAGAGAAAGCGGCGAAGGCTTCAGTGAGGCGGCGGAGGGAAGCGAGAGTAGCAATGGAGTCGATTAGAGAAGGCAAGGCGGGATCTTTGGTGAGGCGAGGAGAGTAGGCCAACGCTGTTGTGGAATGGAGGACAAGAGCTAGGCGGTTCGGTTTCTTCTTCCATGTCACAAGGAAGCGTGTCGGCGAGAGGAAGATGGGCTTAGCAACGAGCCCAAGAACATGCATCAAACTGAAGAAAAAAAGACTTGCTTGTCATGATATAGGATAAACCAAGAAATTTGTTATTATATTCTGAACAAATTTGATAAAATTTCAGTCACATGAATTTGAAATATTTAAAATTTATATTCAATTCAACTTAATTAATTTCAATAGTTTTAAGATTTATTTCAATTATAAATATTCAGAGCTAATTTTTTTCCCACACCATTGATATATCATATGAAATTTGCTTTGATATTAAACTATAGAATAGATATCTAAATATGAAATTTTGTAGGATTAGAAAGGAAAAGAAAGAAAAAAGAAATTAAAAAATATATAATGAATATTTAAATTATTGAGGTTAATATCTATGAAATATGTTTTTGATAAGCCCTCTATGAATGTTTTTTAATCCAAAGAGCACTTTAACTATTCCTAAGAGGATGAAATCTTAAATAATTATAGAACAAACTATTAAGCACTGATCAGTCAAACTATTTTGAATAAAATTTTATCTTAATTTTTAATTATTAAAAATAAAAACTCATTTTAACAATATAAAAGTCCTAAATAAAAGTTATCATTAAGTTCTAAATGGAGACTACCACAAAATTATATATTAGAAGTCATAAAAATTTTCAGTGATGGTTGATAAATAATATTAGAAGACTAAATTTGAACTATATAAACTCATGCAACCCTTATGAAGAATCCCATTTTCACAAGAAAATAAATAAAATAATGAGATAAGAGAAAGAGAGAAGAAGAAACTCTCATGGCAGAGAAGAGAAGAAGAAGAAGAAGTAGCATCAACATCTTATACTCCACGTTCAACTCTCATCTTCACATCAAGCAGATGTGTTCCCTTTCAATCGTTAATACAAATATAATATTACTTTTGTTCTTATTCATATTTACTTTTTTTAAGCTAAGCATAATATTTGATCTTTGTACGGCCATAGACGTAAGTGTATCTACATGAACTTGTGTGCCTTGTATTAGAAATCTTTAATATGATTATTCTCTCATTTTCATTTTCATTTAATTTTTGAATTGCATGATCCCAAACACTATTTATAATATTAAATCTTATTAGAAGTAAAACTAAATTCGATTAAATAAAATAAGAGTTATATATCATATTAATCTTAATGAAAAAAAAAACAAATGAACAAATGACACTTTAACCTTAAGTAAATAACCTAAAACTACTAACAATGAACATATCAAATTACACAAATCAAGGCATAAACTTCACCAATATTACTACATAGGCATCAAAGAATAAGCATCCTAGCTATGCACTATCACCACCTCTCAACTAAGCCTTCATTTGGGATGGCTTTCTTACTGCTTGTTACAGCAGCTTTTTAGTAGACAAATTAGAGTGTTTATATTAAAAAATAGCTTTAAGAAACAGTACAAAAGCCGCCCCAAACAAAGACTAATTTTTTGTTTTAAATCCTGAAAATTAATTATGATCCCCTACTTTATCTAATACTAACAACGTGTACATAATTTTAGTGTGTCTATATAGATACAAACTATATATGAATTTCAAAAAAAAAAAACTCATTGCATATTGTTCATTGACAATTGCTCTCTTTTTATAGTCACATAACATTTCAAGAAGAAACATATCTTGAAAAAGAAGGCTTAAGAGAAACTTATTAGTTTAACAATGTAATCAAATAAAATTACAATAAAACTAAATAATGATATATTGTCCTAAAATTTTATAGCCTAAATTTTAACTATGTGCAATTAGGGCATTCTTAATAGTTGATAATAAGAGTGACATTGATTAGTGTAAACATTTTGAACTTCTATTAGGTAGCTATTCATGTGGGGAGAGACATTATTTAGCTTAAGCAAACTTTAATGGTACTGTTGTGAGAGCTTGGAGGTAAGAGAGCTCTCCTCCAAAAAAAAATTTGGCATGATTTAAAGTCAATTTTTTTTTATTTCAAGGCTTCATTTGAGTTAGTTTTCTTCTTTTTTTTTTTTTTTTCTAAAACAACTTTTTAGAACAAAAATTTCTTAAAATATAAACTTTACTACTAAAGAGTTGCATTAAAAACAATAAGAAAATTGTCTCATATGAAGTCTAAATCGATCAAGTTAAAATTTTATTAAAAATTATTTGATTTCAGTCTACTCAAAATTAATTTCAAATTTACACAAATATATTTTTCTTGAATTATATGCATATCATATATTAGCTTATTTGTACATATTATGCAACTCATCTTGATCTGTTGGTTGAGAGTTTTGGCTACTAAACCAAGAGAATTCAGGTTTGAAGCTTGCGTATATGATGTTTGTGTAAATTTAACTTAATTGACCTAAATGTCCCAAAGAAAAAAAAAATTATATATATATTCATTTGGAGTGACATCTTTATTTAACTCAAAACTACATATTTGAATGAGTTAGATCAAATTAAAAATCAACTAAGATGACAAATATTAAACTATTTTAAATTCTATATTTACTGTTCCTAATTAATGCTTTATATTATTCATTTTTAGCTCATTTAATTGAAGTAAAAAAATGTTAGACATATATAATCTAACAAGATTTAGGCTTCGTTTGGGACGGCTTTTTTTTTTGCTTTTTAAAATGGAGTTTTAGTACAATTTTTTTTATTTTTGCAATAAAACTCTGTTTTAAAAAGCAATAAAAAAGCCGTTCCAAACGAAGCCTTAAACTTCGGAAAGTTGCCAAATATATAAATTTCCTTTTTACATACAAATTAAATGAAAATTGATATTCAAAATTTCTAAAATATTTTTCAAACTATTGGCAATGAAATATGCCCTTATTTTATTATTAATTTTTATATACTAATATCGCTTGAGGTTTTATGGAGGTTTTTATATATTAACGTCTTCTTTGTGCTCAATTAAAAAATAAGTAACATGCATGCCATATATGTATCATGAATAATAAGTTTTAACTTTAAAATGCATTCCATAAATAACTTGAGTTAAATATTTTCTTTTATTTTAAAATTCATTATTTGAATAGTTTAATAGCTATTTAATATTATTTTTATGTTTAGTATGCAGCCAAAATTTATTATTATTATTTATTTATTACAACACAATTAATTTTCAGAAAGCTATTAAAATATAATAACATTTGACTATTTTTGTCAATAAAATTTAAAATATTTAATAATTTCAAATACAACTGTTTTATTATATGAATTTACTTCATATTTATTTAATTTGAATAATTATTATATGATAATATAAATATTTTTAATCAAAACGCATAGACAATACAAATATTTTGCTTGCTTGTAAATGAGCTAAGTCCCCAAATTTGGAAGATGGTATATTTTAGGAAATTATCTATGCGCCCTTAGAATTTTATTATAGTGTACGTTTAACATTCAAATGTTCTTATTAATGATATACCACGCAAAATCTTAAGATTTTTACAAACTCCACATTCAAATTATTCTTTATTTGTATGAATCATAATATAAAATTATTATTTTACTTAACATTAGAAATGATTCTATGCAGACACCAGACAGTCTGGAGACTAATGCGCCACATCACTTAGTATACAATGGTACTAAACACTTCTGATTGATCTCCGGATGCCGTCTGGTGTCCGCACAAAATAATTTTTCCTTTTTGAGGAGGCAGACCTCTCAAAGTTGATGTAAAATATTATCTTAACCCATTACAAGTTAAAATTTTTATAGATGCATTCGAAATTTCAATATAATCAAGGGAAAACAAAAAGCAAAAAACAAAATGCCCTTACTAGTAGTTTACAGCTGAAGCATTCGTGAACCCTAACTAAGCCGCTGGCAGGAAAGAATAGCAGAAAAGCAGTGTATGATAATTAACATGGACATGACAAATCTTCCTTCATTGATCTACTTTAGAGTCAGTCAGTCACTTGCGCTGCGTGGCACCAATGCGCGGCTTTCCCTTCACCTCAGATTCCTGTTCCGGAATATATATGATCATAGTTTCAATAAGCATTCATAAAATACTTTTCAATGCAGAAAAATGAAATATATCAGATATTTTCAAATCATATTGACCTGCGGGGAATGGAGATAGAGGTATGTCTTCGCTGTTGCAGGATTATGATTTTCTGCACCCTTGCTCCAGTCATAACAGACCTGCATGATTTCATGAAATTATATTCGGCACTCTGGGAAAACTTTGGAATGTAAAATTGCAAAAAGCATTGTCAATTTTAGGAGAGATTATTATGTGCGGACACCGGATCGTTCGGAGGCAAATCAGAGCGCGCCACGACACCCGGTACACATCAAAACACGCTCTGATTCAACTACGGATGACATATGGTGTCCGCACAGAATAATTTTTCAAATTTTAGGGTATCAGTCATATTGAACCACAATTTTAGGGCTGAAGCCCTGATTGGAAAGATTAGGGTTGAAGTAAGGTAGACAAACCAATCTTAAATCTAGTAGATTACATCAATTTTCAAATTTAGGGTTAGCCATAGAGGGTGGACCAAACCCCATTGTGGTTCAGTAGGACATGGTTAACGCTTCGGGTGATTATAGTGAGAAAAAGACAAATCGATAAGGACGTAAGCAGCAAGTACAATACCATAACGCAATTGTGAGAGTTATGCAAGGCTAACTATGTCAATATTAAAATCAAATTTGCTACATTGAATTTGAGGACTTTGACTAGAAAACCCAAAAAAATAAATGAAAACAATGATTAAAAGACAAATAAATATAACACATTTAAAAAAACACTGAACGGAATGGGGAAAATCCAAAGATATTGGATAAGTTATAAAATTAGTCAGAATTATAATGGATAAAGACGAAGAAGGCGACGAGGGCAACGTCAAACCTTTATCCCACTAATTGGGTTCAGCTAGATAAATCATTTTTCTCTATTGTATTCCCTTAAAGAGTGAAATTATCATTTAAATTTAATAAAAAAAATGTCATTTCTAAAACTTCCAAGTCTTTTTAGGCCTACCTCTACCTTTCTTAATATAGGCCGGATCTAATATATCTACTCTCCTAACCAAGTCATCGGAAAGCCGGCATTTTATGTGACCAAGCCATTTAAAGAGATTCTCTCTAATCTTATCTGCCACTGAAGCTACTCAAATCTAAGCTTTTATTAAAAACCTGGAGTACCGTTGCTTACTGTTTGTTAAGTGAAAATTTCTGCAGAAGGCATATATTGCCTAAATGGTTACCTCCTGCAATTCTCAAGCATATATGCAGAACAATTTCAAGAACACGATAACAATTACTCAATCATAGCCTATACATACTAAAAAGAAATTTGCAAATGTGCCCTAGATAATCATATGCAATACAAAGCATCATAAAACAAGGAATGCAAATAAATTCTGCAGCATACACTCTCTAAGGAAATTATTAAATGATAACATTGGAAAATTAGAATTATTGGCATCATTGAACTATTTCAAATACAGAATTATATGTTTAGAATATTCTTTGCTTGACAAGAAAAGGAATAAATAAAGTATTAACTTACAGCATAAGCAAATATGGACCCATCTTGGTTAAACGTACTGCAAGAGATAGGAAGAGGGCATCTAGTCATAGCCTGCAAAAAGATTATTTTGGCATGAGCATCTATCAGTATGACAAACATAAAATTTCAATTGAGATGAATACAAGAAATTTGGAGGCTAACGTCAAAACTTAAGAGGGCCTATCATTAGTAAGTGTTGAGAGTTGAGAAGCAATTTGTGTGTATTATTGACTAATATGAGGATGAATAAAGAAAAATAAAAAACCTAAATTATATCCTCCTCAATTATTGGACATCTTCTATGATAATCTCCTTACATTATTAAGATTCTATGTAATACTCACCAAACATCTAAACATGCCAACTCTCCGCCCTCAAGTTGGAGCACATACTTCCGTAAGCTCTCATTTACATAAATGAGAGGATGGCAAATATCCAAGTGACTTGGTAATGATACCCGTTACTAGTTCTAAATTAGGGACATGGGTAGTAATAATTTTCTTGAAAATCACATCGTCTTGTATGAAATGAAAACCCACTTCATTATGTTTGGAGAGTTCATGAATTGTTGAATATTTTGCAATATTGTTATAATAGAGTTGTTAATGGATAAATAACCATACTTATATTAGATCTAATGAACCACTCATTAATTGAATTTGATAATAATTGATATCTTTGAGATACAAAAATTACGGAGATGCTTTAAGAGAGTGATGGTTGTATATAATTTCATATCTTCAACATCACAATTACTTTACTTGATGAGAAGATGTGCAAATCAGATATCATTTGTCAAGCCTACCAAGACTCGATCTGCCAATGCATTTTGACATTAAAATGTTTTCATCAACAAAAATTAGGTCCTTATTCAAAGGAAACAAAGGAAAAATAAGTGCAGCAAGTCATCTTGAAACAATCCTTTTGGAATATTATAGCATTATGCATTCAAAATAAGTGGACCATTGTTGAAGGTCCCTCAATTGGTTAATACATTAAGAAATACCTCTGATGGGTTACATATATGAAATGACAAAATAGGGTAGTCGCCTCGAAGGTTTAATCTATGTGAAGAATAATAAAACTTTGAATCAAAGATATAACCATCTTGACATTATTGATCATCTCTCTTTAAATGCTACAGATGATGTTAATGAGTGATCAATAGAAAATATGGTTGATGAGTTAGATGACGATAATGAATTATTTATTGATGAGAAAGATTCAACATGGATCACTATTACAAAAAATGGTGGAGTTCATTAAAGAAACTATAATATTTGAAAGTGATTTAATGGTAAGAAAAGAGAATCTTCCTCTAGGTTTAACAATCTTATAATTGATCATGATGACAATGAGGGAGACAAAGAAGATTAAAATTTAAGAGATAATGGTGATATTGATGAAAGAGATGAGGCTATTTTGACTTATGATAATGATGATGAGTTCACTTTTCAAAAAATATTAGTCCTTCAAAAAAAAATATAATGTTGTGAATTTGAGTCTTAAGCATTTGAGCCTAAACATCAAGATTCAACAGCTTATTTATAAATTTAGTTATTTTCACGATCATGATAGTTTTGTCAATGCAATAATTTTTCATAAATATTCATATTTTTTAATATTTTGCAACTTGTTTGAAATACGATGTGCTACCCCATGCATTTTGTGTTTGTCTCTACAAGACATTTGCACAATGGTTGCACTATTCTCCATTGATAAATATGCATTCACCTATAGATTCTTGAGAGCTAAGGCAAGAACATAGCGCAACGCACACCACAGTTAGACGCCATTTCAAAACATGCTTAAGCAACCACCTTGACCTAAGGCCCCAAGAAAGGAGGTGTGCATCATGCTTTGATTCGAGAGAAGGGTTAACATAAATACTTTCTAGTTTTTACAAGATGAAAATTTGACATTAGGTGATGTAAAAAGAGCTTTAAGAGTTGAAGAAACAAGGATGTACACTACAAAATAAATTGGACCAAATGTGCTTATAAGAGATTCAAATTCTAGAGTAGTGAGTATGTGGAAGAAGATGAAGGTCCATAAAACTAGGGGTCAGGATAGAGGAAGAGATGAAAATCTATAAAGCTTGTGATAGAAAATACAGCATTAAAAATGAAAAGATAAAATAGAGATAGTGGCAAAGATTACTATCACTAGAGTATAATGCTTACAAAATTAAATAGTTTATAGTGCTAAATTTAGATTATCTATTTCAGAATTTTGAACTTGAATAAAACAAATTTCACAATTTTTTTCCAACTTAGTTTAATGTGATCATAATTCTTTTATACTCTTTAAAATATCCATTATACTTAAAATTAGTTCAGAAGTGAAAAAAATAAATTTCTTTTAAGCGCTTAATGGTGTTCAGGCAAATACTAAG